GACCTGCCTTTTTTCTCTTCTCCATAAATACACAAATACACAGGTCCGCTCCTACTTCGCTCTCGATCGATCGCATTAACCTTTCCTCTATGCAAATCCTCAGCATCATCAACAAACCACTATGTACCCTTCTTTTATTTGTGTTTTTTGGTCTCACTCAAGCAAGCGATGAACATGATTTGATGAAGTAAGGGATGGTGATGGTGGTGGCAATTTCATTTTTTTTTGTGTACAATAGATGAACAGGTTGATCTATGGTTTTTGCGACCTGTAGTTAGCATGGTCTAATTTCCTTGGGATTCGATTTCGCGATGAATAGGGGTTGATGGATTGAGGACTAGTCAAAAGAACCACCATCAAAGAAGCCTCCTTGCGACGATATTGAGTTCTTATTTCCAGAAATTTCCATCAACTATTAATTGTGCCGATATTGAGTTCTCATTTCCAAAATTTCCTTTAACTGTTAACTCCTACAATACCCTATATCATCCTTATGTTTCATGTTCATCAGAGTCATAGCACACCGCCATTATTTTCTCTCGTAAGAAGCACCAACATCACTATTTCTTATCATAACACTAGCTTTTTTGGTTTTCTATCCTTATATTTTAATACTTTTATCAAAGTATTGGGTTGGTCTCTTAACGTTTTCATTTTGGAATGTTACCTCTGTGCGATTCGTGTCACTTTCAATTTTATGATTATCCTTTGGCATATGTCTGTTAAAAGTTTGAATGTGATTTATGAAGTTAGAATAGGATTAGTTGTTCAAGAGCACCATGGCAGAATCTTGGTTTTCAAAGCTGATCTGAGGTTGTGTTCATTCCGGTTATGTCCCATTAGGCCAAAACATAATGAATCTCCTTTGACTTTGTATGTTATACAAATACGATGGTGTTTATCTCGACACGACCTGATAGTCTTGAAAATTTCTCCAAATTAAAGAACTCAATCGGAGCACAATTTGTGATGTGGAAAGTTTTTTCGTCTAAAACAAGTAAAAGGGGGGGGGGGGGGGTAAAAAGACAAGTTGCTCATGAGTTGGTTCCCTCATAAAGCCATGAAAATAGTTTAGGGACTAAAAAACCAACCATAGAAAATTCGTACGGCATTTGTGTTATTTCTCATAATATAAAATGTTGTTTCTTGATATGTTGTTACAACTTCAAAACCTTAGATTTTTAAAACTATAACCGTTTAAAGATAGATATATAATAATTAAACTAAGGTGAAAAATGGTTTGAAGATGAGGGTCTAAAACTGTGCCACGCAACATACGTACAAAAGTTTTTAAGTCCGAAGTTTTTAAAAAAACAAACATCTGCGAAAGGCCAAATATTACGTGTGTTCTATGCGGTGCAGCCAGAAGCGGTTAGAAGTAGTTATAAAAAACAAAACAAAAACAAAAAGCTAGCCCTAAGAATTGATAAATTTTTCCCTATTAGAGATTGATGGTTTGATTCCAGCTTGAAATAAAATCTATAGATTTAGTGGATTTGTGAGTTAATGGTTATAAAAACAAACAAGTACGTCTAATTAATCAGTACCATATACTAAAAGTCATTAATTGTAGGGACAAAGTTCGCGGTTGAAAAGGAAAAAATATCTCCACATCGCACAACAAAATGGTAGCTTATCCTTATCTAACGGACCAAGTTACATATAGCCTATTATGTGAAACAATGGAGTATTATTTAATCAAACACAAATATAGCAGAACAAAAAGTATATTCATAGAACAAGTTCAAAGTGTTTCGCACGTGGTTCATTACTCATTTGAAGTACAAAACTTACACATTCTAATTCTTCAAAACGAAAATCGTATAATCTAGCATAACTAGTAAACGAAAAAAATTAAAAGCCATAAACTAGCGCTTGTTCGCTATTTTTAGCTCCATGATCTAACGAACACAACGGACAAAGAATACTATCAATCGACAGTCGAAACTAACAATGCCTTCTCCAACTCTATACTCAAACCTCGCTCAAACACGTTGATCAAGTAACTCATGAGCGTCGAGTCACAAAGCAGAGTGATTGGTCCATCTGTTGGCAAACCAAACTCGTCTTCAGACATCCTCAAAAGCTCTTTGAAAAGAGTGGTGTTTAGATACTGCAATGGGATCACAAAACGATTGTGGTCAGCTGTGTAAACAACAAAATGACCCTTGTTTGTGATTTTTTCATTACAATAACTTCGCGAAGCTTCTTTCTGCCATTTTCTAGCCATTTTTACGAGCTTCCTGGCTGTCTTCATGATCAATGGGTTCTTTCGAAATCCTGTCTAGATTTGTAAAGTATAAATGGAACGTATGTATATTGTGGTAAAAACTGATCCGTGTTTATAGTGCATATATATGTTCTTGAAAAGTGGCTGAGTTTAGGGTATCTCTCATGGATGTCTGGAATGTCTCCTAGGAAGAACATGTGGTTAGTTATGTGCGGGTTAGGCAAACATCAATATACAGAATTAATGAACTCCCTTTTCCATGATTTGAGATTATTTGGCCCGACTAGTCCACTGTACTCATGAAATCGTGATTTTCATACATGAATCTGAAAAGTTTTAGGTCTTGCGGTCAGTATGAGTATTTATGAAAACTTAACAACACATTTAGTTCTAATTTCGTGAAGTTAGTAGCGGTGGAACTCAATGGAGGCCAAAGGGGTCCATGGCCTCACTTCTTTTTTTTGCTTTCTAATTAGTAGCTTTAATACGCAAACAGCAAAGAAAAACCAAAGACCATAGTTTTCGAAGCTAGGAAATTATTTATTTATTTCAGTTGAGCAAAATGGATCTATCACTTTCCACCTTTTTCTTAAACCACACTTTCATTCTATTTTTTTTAATCTCATTTCATAGTTTGTATTTATTTTCCGTGCAATGTAAATATTATTGTTAATATTTAATATTATATTTTTATAAATATCAAAAGATGACAACATAATAATATAAAAAGAAAATATTCGTTAATTCGTTAATTGTTGGTGATTTTATCACCAAATATATTTTAGTGTAATGGAGTTAACAAGTGTTTCAAGAATAATGTTTTAGTTATAATACAAGTTAGGAGGTGCGGGAGTACACACTTGTATTTACTAAACAATACAAGGACTAAATTGTCATTCTTGAAAGATGGAAACTGTTTTTCATTTATCCGTTGTTTGGATAAGTTAGGGAAAACGGCATATATATTTTGAAACACAGAGAAAACAATAACGCTTCTTCTTCATCTTCATCTTATCAAAATTGATTCTGATTTTGTGCCTAAAATCAGAATTGTTGCTTCAGAAATTATCCCAGTTTGGATTTCGTGATACCTAAGGCATATAGGGTCGAAATATCAAACAAGGAAAGTGTTTACACGATCCATGTTTGTGATCCAGATTTCCCATAACCCTATTTCGAATTCCCCAACAATCTTGTTTGATATTTCCGTTTTCTCGAAAAGATGGCTGGCAATTCACTGAAAGACATGAATACTTCGTTTGGCAAATTGGAGAAATTTCAGGGCCAAGATTTCAGACGTTGGCAAAAGAAGATGCACTTCTGTTTGACCACTTTGAAAGTTGTCTATGTTCTTTTTACTCCAAAACCAGAAGAGGTTGAAGATGCAAGTCTGGAACAGATCAGAAGGAGAAGCAAATGGGAGAA